GCCGCAAAACCGGTTCTAGAAAAATCGACAGTACCATACAGCGTCGAGAATTCCCAACAGGACTACATACACTGAATCTAGTTACTCCTTCATATTGCCCGTAAATTACCGACCCGAGTTCAAAGCCAAACAGAACTACTTTGCTCTGAAAAGAAAGAAAACCCGGTCCCCGATTCAAAACTGACCTCCAATCAAAGGACCTACCAAACAACAGTCCTGAGCTCAAGCCCTACATCTTACTAGATTCCATAGAAGGAAAGAACATCCAGTACTTCGAAAACTCCATTGCTCACTCATTCGTATCATATACTCCCGAACACCCTTCCAAACTTGATATTATCTAAAAAGCGACCTTAGTTCCCCCGAAACGACTTTTCAGCAACAACTTGAAAATAGTCCTAAAAACGGACCTTGGTTCCCCCGAAATGACCTTTCAGAACCCTGTCCCAATTTGTCAGGACTGGCAACCAGTGATCCCACAGACCAGCAAACTTGTTCGAAAAATTCGTCAAAGCATAATAAAAATAACCATCCGGATATCCTCGTCTCCACAACTCCACCTTGAGAGAAAACAGGAAAGGAAATTCGTAACCAAAAACAGAAGTGAACGCTCTTGCGCGATGGAGGAATGAACCAATTACAACCATCTTTTGTTGTTTACTCGAATAGGAGTTAAAATCTTGTATGCTTTGGAAAATTACCTGTTCCATTGCCTTGTGTGGTTTGCATTTCGCCGTTTCGTGTCCTTTCCATTTTGGGTAATGTCGTGCCGTACAGCGTTGCTAGGATGGGTCCGTTTGGGGTTTCCGAAAGAAGAAAAAGGGTCCGGTCATAGTCATCCCTAAGACCGATCATAGGGCAGGTTAGCTTGTCTAGGTCGTTCGAAAATCAGCATAAGGCGCCGTCCACAGTTTCCCTTTTGAGGGGTGACGTTTTTTCCCGTTTCAAAATAGGGACGGACGATTTGGGCTTGGGCGTTTCTGCTTTTGTTTTTTTTTTCCAGTTTGAACTGCATCTCCCGAAAAACATGGGAAGCATTCATCTGTTTACTGCGATGAAGTATTGAAAAACGAGAAGGGAGTGCCCTGCCTTGTTGGCAGGGCTTACTAAAGAAAAAGGCAAAAAAAGAGCTATCGAGATCTAGGGCCTCGCTCCATGAACTCACCGAATGCGCAAAATGAGAAATGAATAGTCCTGTAGAACATGGGTAGATACACGTAAAGTAGTTCAGAGGTTGAAGTGACATTTTGCCTTTATTTTTTTTTTATTTTTTTTCCGGAAGAAGAATGTCTTCTGTTTCTCACGTGACTTCTCGTGAGAGGCCGGGGGAGCAATCTATGGGCCTCGTGCAAAATGAGAATCAATTTTCCGCTAGAACATGGAAAGATACACGGCCATGATTTGTGTCTTTTGAGCATGTCAAGAGTAGTGGGAGGACGCCCTATTGCTTTGTCAGCCCCATTCTTTTCAAGGCATTCTCACGCAGCCCTGTCCACAATCCCCTTATTTTCAAGGCATTCTCAGGAAGCCCTGTCCACAATGCATCTGACTGTACGTCTGGCCAGGCATGAGGTGGTACGACAAGTTGTCGTTTAGACAACGCTTGAGCAACACAGTCACACCCTTATCCGAAGAAGAAGAAGAAGAAGAAAGAACAAAGGGAAGAGATGAGATGATAACACCCACACGTGATAAAAAGATATCGTATTAAAATTCCCGAACGCGACTGACTCCGAAAGAAGTCTTGGGAATGCCGAGTCAATCTACCGTGGCGTGATCCGACCGGTTTCGACTGGCCATCACTCCAGTCTTTACCAGGGATCTTTTCGATCGTCGGTATGAAACTGACTACCGTGATCCTCTTTTTATCTCGTGAGTTCAAGAATGACTAGGCTTACAAAATAAGACAAATTATGAAATATGNAAAATAAGACAAATTATGAAATATGCCGCAAAACCGGTTCTAGAAAAATCGACAGTACCATACAGCGTCGAGAATTCCCAACAGGACTACATACATCGAATCTAGTTACTCCTTTATATTGCCTGTAAACTACCGGCCCGAGTTCAAAGCCAAACATAACTACTTTGCTCTAAAAAGAAAGGAAACCGGTCCCCGATTCAAAACTGACCTCCAATCAAAGGACCTACCAAACAACAGTCCTGAGCTCAAGCCCTACATCTTACTAGATTCCACAGAAGGAAAGAACATCCAGTACTTCGAAAACTCCATTGCTCACTCATTCGTATCATATACTCCCGAACACCCTTTCAAACTTGATATTATCTAAAAAGCGACCTTAGTTCCCCCGAAACGACTTTTCAGCAACAACTTGAAAATAGTCCTAAAAATGGACCTTGGTTCCCCCGAAACGACCTTTCAGAACCCTGTCCCAATTTGTCAGGACTGGCAACCAGTGATCCCACACACCAGCAAACTTGTTCGAAAAATTTGTCAAAGCATAATCCAAATGACCATCCGAATATCCTCGTCTCCACAACTCCACCTTGAGAGAAAACAGGAAAGGAAATTCGTAACCAGAAACAGAAGTGAAAGCTCTTGCACGATGGAGGAATGAACCAATTACAGCCATCTTTTGCTGTTTACTCGAATAGGAGTTAAAATCTTGTATGCTTTGGAAAATTACCTGTTCCGTCTCCCATGTCCTCTGGTTCTTATGCAAGGGCATACATGTAATGCCTGTCTTTCCATCACAAACTTCTAAAGTACATCCCGGAAAATCCCAGTACTGCTCCTCGTTTGTTTTCTCTAAAATCAAATTCTGATCGTAACAATTGGAGAAAATTTTTATCAACCTTTCTGCCTCACTCACTCCCTCGCTTCTCTCAGACTCACAGATCACAAAAACTGATACATCATCCACTAGACGGAAACCGTGAAACAAGGACCGAGAGGTTGAGAGAGAAGATAAGAAAAGAAATTCGTTGAAAACACACAATAAACAAGTAAGAGTCGGACTTGAAGACTTCCCCATTGGGATACCTACAACCTGTTGGATAAGTTTCCCACCTACCATCACGAAGGTATTTCCTAACTCAAATATTATGAAATCCATCACCTGTCGGAATGATAACCTTCTCCAACCATCCTCCTTCTTTCCTTTACATAGTTTCACATCCTTCCCTCCCCTCTTGACTAGCATACCTTCATACTCATACCCAGTCCAAAAGTCAATAACCCAATGCAGCGTTCGAAGAATAGACTTGTGTGGAAGATGTGAAAACATCTCTTTAACGTCGAACGATGCCCCCACCAGTGTCTGCTTCTCGCTCAGTCTCTCATTGATCCTCCTTATACCTTCCAAAAGATCTGTGGTCTTTCGAAGATTGAAATGCATCCTAACCGGTAACTTCCATAACATGTAGTTAACTACCCTGGATATCACTCGTCCCCCTTTCGACTTACATTATGAAAATGAAGGGCAAATGGGCCTCCACCTATTAATGTCTTTGTGTTTTGGTATACCGTATGCCCTTCCAAATTTACCCTTGTCCTCCCAAACTGCAACCTCCTCCAACCCAGCTTCCTCATACACCTTTTTGCACTGCGCCAATACGGCAACTTCTTCCTCCGCCATCATAGAAAAGGATTTATTTTCCAAAAACAGCTTATCAAAACCTCTCCTCTAAACCACAGGGCACAGCGAAAGGTATCTCCAACATTATGATTGATCGGTGAACAGACCAAACCCTGCACGTGCTCTCTTTGCTTATATATCTCATCAACAGATATCGATATCCCGGCCTCGTCCACAGAAGAAATGCAGAAGCAACTTGACAGATCGAAATAACATAAAAGATTAGACGGGACAGAAATAGACAAGTCAAAAGTAAAAGAAAGGAAGGCTGTAACCATTTGTCGTCTCAGAACAAAAAAAGATTCACTAGAGGGTTTCAGAACATTCTTCGAGTTCTTCATCACATCAGGAAAGAGAGAAGAAACCTCACTCAAACGGAAAGATACGTGACCTTGGACACGTGGGAAGGATTGCTGAACACACTCGCAAATGCAAACAACAACTTCTTCACGTGCCGCCCTACGGTGATTATGAATAACATCTCCAAGAGTCGTGTTCTTACACCAAACCACTCTCATCCTCCTAATCAACATATCTTGCCATGCGATCGATATTCGAAATTTTCTCACCGTGGTCGCACACACATTTCGGACCGCTGCTTTACTTACGCGATGGTCGTATACCAATCGAATCACCAGCCTTCTCCTTAACTGGACATCAGAACATGATGTAGCCACCCTGGACAGAATCAAACGTAGTCAGATCTAGTTCTTTTTTCAGTAAAAACCACGAACTGCCGTATAAGCATAAACCAATCTGTCCAAATTCCATCTGTACAGCTCAACTCTTGCACGATGGTCACGTAAGCATTGAATTAAAGACTCCTTATATTCCAAAGAACGACACATATACAACGAGATCGATTCAAAAGTAAGCACAATACCTCCTCGTATCCACTCATGCGAATGTCAAAGCTGGCTGGTCCCATAAACACATGACATCACCGTCGCACCATAACATCTCTTCACCACCTTCCAAGATTCCACCAAAGAATTACCACCCTTACACACCACAACACATCTGTGTCGTTGTTCCCTACAACACCAATCCAGAATGTTGTTGATCTTGTACGATACTATACGCACACTAGACTGAAACAAAATCAGCGACTTATTCTTCCCCTCATCAACCTTTCCCCCATCTCCCACATTTACAAACTGTCGCTTCTTGTCTCTCAATCGCTCACGTAATCCTTTCCTCCGCCTCTTAGATTTACATCTCTTATTTCTACTATTCAAGGACGATGAAAAGGTACGGATAAAAAACTTCTCGCATTTTTGCAAATCTTCAACCGAACACGCACATATTGGAACCGCTATATACTCATGTGCACCACACCTTCTTAGCCACCGATATAGTTTCTCACCTCGTCTACCCTTATCAACCAGCTTTTGATTGCCTGCCCTAAATACATGTTCATTCCATCTAACAAAAAGATCTCTCGTCGAACTCCCTATATACACGTGCCTATTCAAAGGTGACACCAAGGCATACACCAACGGACCCTCACAACGATCAAAATCAAAACCATCTGAAACCAAATTCGACACGTGGTCTTCTAACTTACTAGCCCAAGGGATCTCATTAGACAATATCAGACACAACAACACCAAGCATAAAAGCCGATTGAGCAATCTGCAACGTAGAAGTGTTGGATCAGAACGTCTCAGGTTAGTAGTTTTTTTCGCCAAATTCCATAAATACGCCACGTCCGGGATGGACTCTAAGATGACGTTTCCTGTCCGTCAATCTTCGCGAGATCGATACTCTCCTCCAATGTATCTTCCGACACTTCTTCGATCTCAACTGCTTTCCCAAGTGGATCACCTCCGAACGCGAGCAACACCCGTTTGTTCACAATGTCTTCCTTAGTACGATCGAGCGTTGAATAAGCAATCCCTTCCTTCAAACAGATAGTCGAGATAGCATCTTTCTTCAAAGGTTTCAAAACACGCCTGTTCTCCAATATGAATACTTCTTTATCATTCGCCTTGTTTGAATATTCCGCCTGCTCCATTCTTTCTTTCCCTTTAGCTGATCTGCTTCCCGGTGCTTTCGCTGCCTCATCCATCTTCGCTCTCAGGTTCGTTCCCAACACCTTCTGCTGGCGCTCCATTTCCAACGCCGCTAACTTCTCTTTCAGTTTCTCGATTTCGCTTTCTTTTTCTTTCTTACTGTCCAATGTCTCTGCTCGTAACTCTTTCAGCGTTGCAACCTCTCTTGCATGGCAAGCCGCCATTTCTGCCGCATGAGTTCTCCGAATAGAACGAGGAGAAACACAACGTGGTCTCACCCTCGCCTGCGTTGATGGTGTGGCTCCTATCAATATCCCGCCTCTCTTCAGGCCGGGTCGAAGCGCTTCCGCTTTCCAATTCTCCACCACCACCAGAGCCTCGTCCCTCTCTCTCGTCAGCAATCTCATCTTCTCTTCCATCTTCTCAAATCTCTTGTCATTCTCTTCATGTGCTCTCCGTCTAGCTTTCTCCATTTCTCGTAGACGTCTTGCTGTTGCTCAGGGTGATGACCCACCCCCACTGGTTGTCGTTCCCATTGTGAATTGCATCTGCTTCATGTTCTCCATCTCTCTGCGAATCTTTTTTATCTTGCTTTCTTTCTCCTTGCCTTTGTTTGACATCAGCTCGTTCCGCATCATGTCGAACCTCTCCTTCGTAGTATCCCCCATCAGTTTCTGGAATTCGAGTCGTTCCTTTCACTCATTCTCTCGTCGTTCTTCTTCTTCCTTCAATCTTGCCGCCTTCTCTTCTTCTTCTTTCTTAGCCTTCTCCTTCGCTTCTTCAGACGCATGTCGTGCTTTAACCGTTGACATGTCAGTCTCCAACGTACTCAGCCTGACGTTAGTCTGATGCCAGCCTCCACCTCTACCATAGTTACCATAGTTGTTGTTATAGGTGGGACTTGGACCGGGAAGAGTGAGCAAAGGTTGAGCAGGAACAATAGTTGTATTAGGATTAGACACATTATTACGAGGAGGATGAGGGCAGTACCTAGCAAAGTGCCTGGGCTGCCCACAGTTATAACAATTCCGATGAGGGATGGATGCCATGCTGTCTGTAGATACCGGTAGAATAAATCTCGCAGCCACTCAGTCGTAGTATGACTCCTACCGCGGTTACTATGTGTATGAAAGTTGTCGTTTAGACAACGCTTGACCAAGTATCAATAGCAATACAGTCACACACTCATCCGAAGAAGAAGAAGAAGAAGAAGAAGAAGAAGAAGAAGAAGAAGAAGAAGAAGAAGAAGAAAGAACAAAGGGAAGAGATGAGATTATAACACCCACACGTGATAAAAAGATATCGTATTAAAATTCCCGAACGCGACTGACTCCAAAAAAAGTCTTGGGAATGCTGAGTCAATCTACCTCGGCGTGATCCGACCGGTTTCGACTGGCCGCCACTCCAGTCTTCATCAGGGATCCTTTCGATCGTCGGTATGAAACAGACTACCGTGATCCTCTTTTTATCTCGTGATTTCAAGAATGACTAGGCTTGCAAAATAAGACAAATTTTGAAATATGCCGCAAAACCGGTTCTAGAAAAATCGACAGTACCATACAGCGTCGAGAATTCCCAACAAGACTACATACACTGAATCTAGTTACTCCTTCATATTGCCCGTAAACTACCGGCCCGAGTTCAAAGCCAAACAGAACTACTTTGCTCTGAAAAGAAAGGAAACCGGTCCCTGATTCAAAACTGACCTCCAATCAAAGGACCTACCAAACAACAGTCCTGAGCTCAAACCCTGCATCTTACTAGATTCCACAGAAGGAAAGAACATCCAGTACTTTGAAAACTTCATTGCTCACTCATTCGTATCATATACTCTCAAACACCCTTCCAAAGTTGATATTATCTAAAAAGCGACCTTAGTTCCCTTGGTACGACAAGGCCTTAGTAGCTTGCTATTCATTTTTAAATTAAACTTTTTCTCTTTTTTTTTTTTTTTTTTTTTTTTCCTTAGGGTGTTTTAGAGGCCAAGGACCAGACCCGCGGTGATTCCTGGCAGCGGCAGCCAATGGATGTCCTGACAGGATAGGCCATCTACCCTACCCATCCCAACGTTAATACTCCCAGCGCACCCCCTGTCACTACTATCCTACCTCACTGTGACCAGCACTCAGGACCATGGCCCTACCAGTATCCAGGGCAACTTGGAGCAGACAGCAGTGACAAGCACCAAGGCTGGGCCAACCTCCCAGCCCTGATGGAAGCGGAAGCGGATGAACCTCGCCGTATGAAAACTTCGGACGCCAGGCTCATGCAATCTTGTGCAGGCCCAATTCAGAGAGTCTACCCAGCAGGATTACCTAAGCAAGGCAGGCCAGCGCCCGCGGACACATCCTACCGTCCTTCCCTTAGCTCACCCAAGGCTAGGCGGAACTCTGACTAGCCGGAGCGACTTATATCCCTACCCCTACCCTAGAGCTAAGCCATGCGTGAGCAGACCCCGTCATATACCTGATATACCCCCCCTGCCCAGTATCGTAGTTGTGTGTATGTGTGTATGGCCAGAGGCTATGTATATTTGTATGAGCCCATAGGGCCATGCGTTTGGGTATCTGCCCGAAGGGTATGTGTGTTCTGTCTAATTGTATAGCGAGATGTATGTGCCCGAAGGCCAGATATGTGCAGACTGCCTGTACTATGTAGAGGGAACTCTGTGTTCATTTGAAGAAATGACAAGCCAAGCTGGACAAGAACCCCCCCCAAACTCCCAAGCCAGACTCGAACCCGTGACTGGGGAGATCTTCAGAACAACCACGAGTAACAGCCACAAGCAACCCACGCA